CTCACGTTTTTGCTTGTATAAGCCAAAGGCACTTTGATGATGAGCCATGCTGTCTGGGTACATCAGTAATGATGCCATCTAATGCTGTCAGCCTGAAAATCAATAAAATCTCAAATAAATCCTTACACACCTGTAACCTTTTAAGATCATGCAGGCAATTATTGACATGTGCTAGGCCTCTGGTCACATGAGTTAAAGAGTGCAGAGCATTTGATCTCTTTCAATGCCGAGTTGTGAGCCAATAAAGTTACAAATGGTAGTCTTAAATTCATTTCCGGTTGGCGAAGCACATGGCTTCCCCAACAACACAAACTTGGCTCCACATTATAATGCCAAAATTGTTGCTGAAGATAGAATTTAATTTGTAAACAAATGGTTGTATATATTCATACCCGTCATTTACTTGAAATTTAGCCAATCCTGACAATTTAAAGCCATTTTCAGATGCTACTGATTTTTGATGTTTCGTTTCGTTGATTATAGTAATCCATTATATATAGTAATTGTTGATTATAGTAACCAGCACAAGCCAGCATACGCAACACGTTTATATTCTTGGCACAAGTGGCACAAGTCAACCCTGCTGTCAGGKTCTASTTTATTGAATGGATAGGACACAATGATGGCCTACAACATTGACTAACAATTATACATGGTTTATCATTAACAAAAATACAAATAATTTTCAGAATATTAATTATTAATTCTTATGCTAATGATTATGCTAATCTAAAGGTATGTTAACATAAAGCTCTATTATTCAGTTTGTTTTTTAGTTGGGCTTCTAATTTTTTTGTACAGACAATCATTTGCTAACTTAATCCAATTTGTGAAGTTATGCATTCCAAGTAAAATCAATAGTCTATAAGATTTCCCCCYTATTTTTTTCTTCCTGTTTTGATTTAGTGTCCAATAATAGCAGAAGATGCATGTATGTTTATCTAAATGCTAAAAAGTGTCCTTATTTTTATCAAAAAAAAAGATCCTGAGTTAAAACGTTTGCCTTGGGCTGAGTACATGTAGTTATCAGTGCCAATCAGGAAATATGAAATGCTCAAAGATATATAGTAACATTTCATTATGACCCGTATTTGTCATGCTGGTGCTCTTAAAAAACCTTTGGAAAACAATTATAGTGCAAACAGGGCTTGATATGGAATCGTTCTTAAAATGCTTTTTTCCCCATAGCACAGCTTTGTCAAGGACATTACAATTTCCAYATGATTCATCATGATTCCATTTACATGTTGTTTCGTTTTTGGCAAAGGTGACATCGCAAGCAACAACTTAGCACATGGGGGCAGGGGTGGGCATATGGGAGAGAGGGGAGGGAAGGTTAGAGCACACTGTACAAAACAGGAAAACATTTACTGTTGTTCTATGGGATTTTGTCTGCTTAAAATCTAAGCAAATATAAATATTAATAATATAAATATTGTAAATAGTTTCTTAAATTTAGTTTGATAGTATTTTAAATAGTTCTATCATTTAGTATTTCTTTTGTACTACAACAAAGAAACTTAATAAACTTATTATCAAAAAAGATGATCTAGACATGCTTGTGAACCAACCAGTAACTACGAATTATGAATTTGGCCTCATTTCCATATATTTTTTYATATTTTAAAACAGTCCTACACTTTGGTTTTTCAGAAGCTATGAAAAAAACTTTTCTTGGAACTAAATTTTGTATATAGTCTAATATATGACTATTTAAATTCATAAACAACATATTCCTAGTTCACATACTTATGCTTTTATTTTCTCATTCTATGGCAATTTAGGTATGGAAAATAAATGTTAGCAAAATGCCAAGTTTCATAAACATCATGATGTACTGTAGCTACATGTATACAAACTGTACTGCATTATATACAAAGCTAAAAGTTAATGACAAAAAATTACTAGGTAACATAAGATGTTCAGGTATTCAAATAATACTTGAAAGTTAAAAAAAAAAATAGTTTTTATAAGACGTCAATCAATGTTCAAAATTTTAATATAATGAAACCTGATAAACAAAAGATCTTCCAAAACGACAAGTTGGCTTTTTTGCAAAGATGGATCCTATTTAATGCAAGATTCCATTGATGGGCCAATGGTGTTAGATCAACAAAAACTGAGCATGGTTTGGTCCATGAAGAGTTTCTTATTCTCAAATAAATAAAAAATATTGSATTTTAGATAAGTGTAAGTTGAAGCTTTTTAACTTGATAAAAAAAATTGACAGTGAGTGTTTATGTGATAAAAAGGTTTGAGCCACAGATAACTGCTGTGTTTTTGATATRGCTTAAGACCGATGCTAATTCTATATGTTGTATAGTCATTATAAACTTCAATTTARCAGGTGCATACATGAACATTAAAGACTACATGTATAATGATGACAGTATTTAAATAGCTTCATTTGGCTTTTTGCCTCAGGGCATATTGCTCACCTTGCTCATTCATACTCAAAGTCCATWGTTTAATGGGGTATACAGCTAGCTAGATAAATACTGTGTGAAAATTGCAATGTGAAACTGGAAGTGCTCTAGGCAGAATTTATACTGTTTGTGAACTCTATAGTATTAGAGAGGCTTGGTACAGATGATTTGTTGTTGTTGTTGTTTTTAGGGGGGTGCGGGGGGGGGGATTGAGTTTATGAGCATTTTTTCATAATACTAGATTTTGTCTAGATAAAATAGCTTATGATCCAGATGTCAATTGATTTAGACAGCAAACTTCTTACAAAGTTCATGAAAGYAATTAGATTAGATGGGGAAAAATATTGATGTATGAAAAGAGACAAAATGGTGTGACTGTAAATTGTCTACATACACAGGATACCTTTCAACTATTTCCAGACAATTGAGATTGATGATATGGTCAGAAGACTTTATATTTAGCTTCATATTTAACAATGCCTGATTATGTCATTATAGTACTCCCTCCAGCCATCCTAATYGACCTATGATTATTTCATGTAGGTTGGCAGACTTTCACCATTTTAAGTGCTAAAATTCAGTTATTTCACAGTTTGACAATAAAGGATGCAAAAAMGTTATCCGTGTGGAATAATAATGATGATTTGTGGCAAGTAGKCCAAAATTTTGAAAGCGCTCATTATTATGTTGAGCTGATTGCTTTCACATTAGTGACAGCTTTCATGAGGATTCAAATAAAATATTCGTTTAAACAGACGTTCGCCAACTGCTGAAACGTTGTTTTGCCCTCATTCAATATGACATCTTTTCACCAAATTTCCCAAAGAAATATATTGTGGCGATTTAATATTTTATCAAAACTTCTCTCTTGGGTATCATTGTCTTGCTTCAAATTTTATATTCATGAAGGAATGATTCGATTCAGGGATCGATTCAGKCTATTAAGCTTMTATGGTGTTGCGTGAGCGCGCGTTACTTGTCTTTTGGTCGATTGTTCCGTCTCCAATGACAGTCAAATGCGATCACACAAAAACAAAAATACGCTTTTAAAAACCAAGAGAATTACCCTCACATCTGGACCATATCATTAAGAGTTCCTGCCCATTCAAAGGGTGATTATTATTTTACAATTGTATTGAAATACTCGATAAAAGAACGAGTACAAGGGATGATTTTTATATGAAATTCGAAGTGTAAAGCTTTTAAGAAATAAATTGACTGTAAGCTCAGTTTTAGGTTTCAACGGAAAAGCACTTAATAGTTATTTTAAAAGCAACAAAACGTTCTATTTATTCTAATGCATCTTTTTCGAGTACAAGACACTCCTTTAGCAATACGAAAAGAGCACATACTTTCGTTGCCTTCACCAATATGGGGTAAATTTCTCTACACTATCACGGTTTATGAGGTACAACATGTGAGATTTGTCATGCATTAAACCTCGCTCTCTTTAATGTATAAACTTAACTCCATCTCCATAATAAAAAAAGCATTGCATTTTCTGCTGTCAAGATGAGAGAGAAGAATATCCGTCTTCAAGATAAAAGAATAGACAGGCTTTAACTTACCTTTGACGGCCATACTGGCATTTGTTCCCGTACCATCCATCAAAGCATCTACAATCACCGGCTACTCTATCAAAGTTCCCTCCAAAACAAGAGGGCTTTCTCCTGCTCTTGGCTTCTACATGAAGTGCAAGATAACTGATGAAGAATATACCTGCAATTAACTTGATTATTAACCTCGCTCGACGGACCACAAACATGGCGACATCATGACTTGAAGAAAGCTTTGCATACTCCGAGTGTTATGAGTCCTCGATGACCCTCGGGATCCTTGACGGGACTCTCGAGAAGGAATGGTAACAAGTTGTTGCGTGAATATTTATTTAGAATTTCAATGTGATGAATAAAAAAAATATATCTATAAATGCTTATCTAAGAGCCTTCAGTAGAGTACAAACACTAAAACCGTGCAACATGAATACACGCACTAAATACTGCTAAATTATGCTAATTCTATTGTTTTCTATTGTTTAATTAACACTATTTTGTAGTAAATAGTGGAAAGTGTTGCACACATTTAATGTTTAATTGTACTCTATAAACAACAAGTAATTAGAATTATAAGAATTACTTGTTTATATTTAATTGTATTTATCTGTTTACAGATATTTGCTCATTTAGTGGGAGTGTACTATAAAAAAAATAAAAAAAATAAATGAAAAAATAAAGACAGTAACAAAAACACTGATAAATAAACAACCACAGTGAGGGATGATAAGATTAAGTAGACTAGTTCATTCACCTGTTTCTTTTCTATGTTATATAATCTAGTAAAACCTTGCACAGTGGAGCCATGCACCAAAATGTCTCAAAAATTTTCTCGGTGCCAATTTTCTTTTAGTTTAATTTCTCCAGACATATTYACTATATTACACAATATAGATAAAAAGTAGGCAAGATATCAATCATGACCACAAATTTGTATAAGAGCTTTTTAATACATAATCAAAATAGGGAAAACATTTGTTAAATCTCTTTCTAATCCATTTTCAACAGCCTGGAGGGAATTAGCCTTTTCAGCATTAGATGTTGTTTTTTTAATGCGTTCTAGTGTTTTGAAATGTTCTGCATCATTTGCTTCATCATCACTTAACATTGTTATGATATCAATGCCATTAATCACAATTACAGGTGTCTTTGACAGATACTATCATACAATTTCCAAATCTAAAATTTCACATCTCTTGCAGTACTTATCAGTAATAGGCAGGCCAAATAAATTGCAATGCTACAGTCTCTTCATTAATAACTAAACACAGGAAAAAATTAACAAAATTTCCCAATTGAAAGTGGGATTTTCTAGGGAAAAAGTCCCATTATTGGRATAAATTTTATTTTTCCCTGTAGCCTTCTCAACTACACTCAGTCTTCTAGGGGTCGTCTTCTCAATAAAGAACTGAAGCTCACAGACAATAGAATTGTTCAAGTCGGCTGGCCTAGATTTTTTCCCCACAAGCCGTATCAAAACAATACTCAAACAACATTTTGAATAAAGAGGGAAACAGGTTTTTGCCTGCTATGTCTTGCTCACATGATCATCACTGGGATTGCAGAAAGCACAAATTAATGATATTTTATACTTGAGCTTTGTGACCACAAAGTGAGGTCAAGGTACATGTATGGTGGGCTCAGTGTACCTTGACACCCCAATTCAATTCTTTATTCATGGTCACTGAACCTGAGTATGGAAATGTTTGAATTATAAATCATCATATGTTTCAATTAGAATATTTACTATTCCACAACCTAAATCTCAGACTTGAAAAGCTGACCCGAGTTTGGCAGCTCTGCATTCTCAATCATATGTCCCGCCTACACTTTGCTGTTATGTAAGCCATTGTGCCGACACTGTTGAAAAACGCACTGCACATGCCCACAGCTTTCCCACCATTGGGCGCTCGTGTCTTGAGATCTGTAAACAGAGCGCCTGGCGATTTACAGCGACAACACAGAAAACACTACGAAAAACCTCATTTTCTCAAAATAGAAATGACAAGATAAAAATAGAAACTACATACTAAAAGAACATATCATGAACAAAGATGTCAGGTCAGACGATSAGTCTGCTACTGGTAACATTGTAACCCAGTACAACCTGCCTCATGGACGGGTCGTCGGCGTCTAAACCGGCTCCCCCACCAGTCTAACTGGTGAGGAGGGTGGCATGTACACCCAGCAGGACTAAAAACAAGACCTGTCAAAGGGCGAATGAGCTCATCTGAGCCACCGGCCATCATGCATGCTTCTTTATTCCTTGTATGTATTTTTTGTAGTGTCATTTATATTTTAATTTTTATTGTTGTAATTTTTAAGTTTGATATCTTGGGACGGACTAAGAGCGGCAGCCATGAGGCGCCATCTTAAGCTCGCAGTCTACCATGACTCTGTCATTGTAATTGTTTGTAATTTGAAAGCGCTTAGAGCAGATTTGTAAGCGCTGTATAAAATAAAATTATTATTATTATTATTAAAGATTGATGGAAATATGAATCATATATATTGGTGAACGAGCTTATAAATTGTAAAAAACTTTCACAAAAATCACTTAACAAAGGAAATTAGGCAGATTTCAGCGAGAAAGMTGTGGACATGCGCAGTGCGTTTTTCACCAGTGTCATTGCTACTAGGTTCCCAGTCAGTACACACAAACAAGGAGACAWCATTACAAATAACAAGTTTATTTTATACATTTTGTCAGGTACATTTCTCTTCCACTCTGTCATAAATTACTCCTTTTTGTAAATGGCAAATAAGAAAATAGGCTTTGTACAAAATTCTGATATAATATATTACTAAAATTCAACGATTCATTACTATCTACAAGAACTGGAAAATTGTAATAAATAGGAACTGCTGTTTATCACTGCTTCCGCCAGCAGTGTTCACTTCTACAAAAATTATTAACATTCCCTTTCYCTTCCCTTTCATGTTTACAAGCTAACCTGAATATAAAGCCAGATATTATCAAATAGGTTGTCCAGTTGAAAATGTTGGTCAACAATGCTTTCGAAATAAAACAATTATTAAAATTTGAATTTCAAGTCAAAATTATAATTGACAGCACATTGCCAAACACATTTCCCAGATCCCAAAGAGATCTGAAAATGCACTGTTTATGAAATTCTAAATTAGACAACCTTATTGCAAATGCCTGTATTTATGTGGTTATATAATAACAATAAAAATGACAGAGTCTAAATATCATGTTAAATATCCTCCAACATTTCTGGAATTCCCATCACTCCCTTTTAAATTTGATTAAGTGCTTTTTTAATTTGTCTGGAAAACGTTTGGAAAAATTAAGTCCTTCCTGGAACCCAATTACTGCAGTTTTCAATGTTTTGAAAATCCCCCCTAAAAGTCTTTGTCATTCTCAACAAGAGAATAATTACCTTCTCCAACAATCCAAAAAACTTGAAATTGTTGCTTCTTAACAAGTATACCCTTCAAGAGGCTCATGTTTGTRCTCTTTATTCGTCCCTATCGTTGTAAATGGCAGTTTTTCACCTACAACTGGAATTAAGGGTACTTAAAAACTGCAATAACATCACACCAACACACCAAATAAAATGAGAATGCACTTGCTGTGCAATCTTTACATTATCACAATATTGTAATTTCACTCAAAAAATTTCTCATAGAGAGTATATACAGTAAAAYAATGTATAATACACAATCCAACATTTTAAGTCATGCTATCTTGTACATGCAAGTCTAAATTAAAGTGTAAAAAATTAACTTTCCTATAAAAAAGCTTCAAGTTAGATGYTAAAAACACAGGTGAAATACAGGTGTTTTTAGCTAGTTGTTGTTAATTCTCAGGTTAGCCTGGAATTCCCATCAATTCATAAATTAATTTTAATCGCTCAATTAGTTCTTCAAACATCCCAGAAACTGCAAGCATAAATTATCACACAGGTTTCATCACACATACCAATTCAAACATTTGCGTACCTGACATATAAGTCTACACTCTAATGTAGGCATTCTTGAAAAGGAAACTTCTAATGAAAAAGACAATTGTTAACCTTTCTCATAATAAGAGCAAGGAGAAAAAACCTTAGAAAAACTCACTTCAACTAAGAACTGTTTGGATAAGGATTTTCTATTTTTAAAATAGTCTACAAATTTTTAAAATCTCCAGTAAGCTGAGTCTACTTAGTCTTCAGTTGAAAAAGTTCATCAATTCATGAAGTATTTCCTTTTTGGCATTATCTTTCTTGTAAAAAATAGTAAGATGTCATTAGCAAGTTGATGACTTAATAAAGTCACATCTGACTTTTCCACACAAAGAATCTTTTCAAGAATGACTTAATAATAATATAACAGTATAGCTAAATATCACTATAATGAAAAAAATCAAATTCCAATAATATGAAAGCAATTATTTGGTGTTTAAGTCATAATGAAAATAGCATAAAAGATGAAGACATTGACTAAACACCTCACAGTAATACCACCAAATAAATATTAATTACTCAATTGCACAAATCAAATTAAACAACACAGCAACATTATAATATTTGTGGCAGCTTACATGTATAGTTCTACTTGAGCATAACACATTCAATGATTGCTCACAGAGGGTGCTTTTTCTGTACTCTAAAAGACTTAAMAACATGATTCTCATTCTCTCCTAAATCACACAGCCAAAATCAAAACAATCTTAAAATAATGAGCACCTCAAAATAKTACAAACAAAGTTGCATTTTATACRATGTTCATGACAGAGACAACAAAAAAAGTATACAGATATCCTTGGTATCAAGGACTAAAATGTGATTTCTAAACTACGCACAAACTGTTAAAATATGATCATTGATATATATATTATATAATTTTGACTGTCAGTAATGTTCACACAGTTTGTTTTTATGTACTATCCATTTGATTTAGGAGAAGCAAAGTCTCATGATTTTATGTGCCTTTTATGAATTTCTAACCRTACAAGCCTATGAATTTATATATACTATACCCACAATTATACATKCATGCAGATCAGCCACACACAGCCCCAGACTATCACTACTCACTACAATTAATAATCTGAATAAATAGTTTGTAAAAAATTTATGTGTCTTAAATTAAGCATTAAGGACATTAAGGAAATTATGTCCCTTGATTTGTCTACAAATTTTTTATTTTGTTAACCAGGTTAATTTCCTTCCGCTTCTCTATGCCAGTGTTAATATCTGACTTCTCAAGAGTTAATTATTCATTATTTCCTTCTATTGCATACAAAAATGCAATTTGATGTTTCATTTATATCCACAAATGGTTTTGCTATTAAATTTTATGTAATTAATGATTTGCATCTCAATAAGATCCTCATACTAAATTTCAAAAGTATATAAATCACTAAAGTTGTACTCTAAGATAAAGCTGCCACTATTCCATTATTTAATCAACCCTGAAGCTAGTTCGCTTTGTCAGAAGAAAAAAATTTCTGAAGTTAACAGAAACCCACTATTAATATAACATTATTTCAAAAAGCCTTGACCAGATGWAAAGGTGATATTATGAAGAAAATTTATAAATTAGTATAAAAAATATTCTTTTTGTTAAATCAGCTCAGGCACCTACTGGTAAGGTAACAACAAGAAAAGGCCTCTAGTGCAACACAATTTGACACATGGTGTTTTTGTCATTATATTCAGGTAATTGGAACTACAAAAGCAATAAGTAAAGTATGATAAACAGCAGTCTCACTAGCAGAATGTTGATTATCCAAACAYGAAGAAGATTATTGCACAATTAATCTGTAAATTAATTAAGTTAATTAGGTAATGCCATATTATTTTCTATAATCACAATATTTATCAATRCTGTATACATGTAGTTTCTGTAATTTGCATAAAATTATTCTTCAATAAAACTAAAAACCCCAAACTAACATAATAATAGTAGTTCTGCAATGTAGTAGTTAGACCGTTGACAAAATAAGATAATGCTATGCAAATATGGCAAACTGGGAGCACATTATTGGTGAATATACTTTTGGGCAAGCACTTGTTAAAAAACCTTGAAAAGGATCCCTTTGGTCACACCACCTATACCTAGAGCAGGTGTTCCTGGATTGATATAGAGATGAATAGGATGTACCCATGATAGTAATAGAGATGTGGGTGCTTCATCATTGGATGAATGTACCTTGCCGCCATGCCATGTACATGTTGGCCCTTCTAGATGTTCAGTTGGATATCTATTCCTTTACATCCAGGAGTTGTATTGGCTGTTGCCTTGAGGACAGATTCTACAAAGGCTGTCGTATGGCCAGCAACAATCTGATTACCTGAGGAATGCAAGGGATAATGTCTACTACTATTCATCAAACTATGGGCTATCACAAATCAAGCATTCTCATTGGCCTCTGAACTATGCTATATTGATGTTATATACTATAGTTGCATGAAATATCAACTCATAGTCCACTTGACCTCATGGTCTAATAAATAAAAATTAAAACAAGGAAATATTTGGTGGAGGCAAACAGCAAATGACAACTGAATGTTATATTGCCTTCTCTCAAAAATAAATATGACTTCTGGCAGGGGCCCAGCCCTTGGGGATCAGCCCTTGGGGATCAGCCCTTGAATAAAGATACCTACCAACTGCATCATGGATGAGCTTCTCTACTTTGTTACTCAGCTCTCCTGTAACTGTGAATCCTTGAGTATCCTTAATTATCACCTTTTTCACTTGTCCAATAAGAGCTACCAAGCGTTCTGAAAAATACAGCCATACAATTTTATCATGGTATACATAATATGAAGTGTATTTTATTTGTTTTCATGTACAGCAATATGCAGAAATTATGATCATTTTGACTCATATTCCAAGTATATATAAAATATATCAAAAATTATGGGATACCATAGCTGATATTGTTTTGAAGATGCCTAGCACTAGCACTTTCTGAAAAAATGTTGGCAATGATATTTCATAGTTTCTGATATATTTAATATACAGCCTTTTGCAAAAATTATGAGAATTGTTGAAATATCTAAATATCATAATATCGAGTGCATGATGGGTAATCCCGCGCAATGACCTTAGTCCCTTGTCTTTGTAGTTTTTTTTTTTTTGGCGACAGACGTATTCGTAGTTCTGAACATTTTCTCGATGTCAACAATGAATTATTCTAGCAAACCCACGCGTTCCGGACAATATATGGATATGGATATTATGATATTTAGATATTTAGACAATTCTCATAATTTTTGCAAAAGGCTGTAAAGTACAAAGTACATGTATTTAAATAAAAAAAACGCCTTTTAATTAAAGGTCTAAAATTAAAGTCAAACTTACTGTGTTCCAACTCTAATCCATGGAGTTTGAGTTTATTGGATTCATGTTGAGCTTTCTTCTTCAGTCTGCAAGCCCTAAATAGGGTAAACAAAATCTTGGTGTTATTGACACACTCTAATCACCCAATCAGCGTGAGAGAATTCACACAAGTGTGGTAAAATTTAAGTTATTAATCAATTTGATGTACAGCAAGACTTGCCTCTAAGGCCAACTTGGGCAATATCAAATGAAGTTCAATAGCGACACTCCTTCATGCAACAGATGGCTTGCTAAATTCCATGTGGAATAGATTATTAATCAAAACATGCTCTGTTGCACATAACTATCAGCTATTGAACTTTTTTTGCCATTTATCTCAGTGTTATTCATGTTAAATAGTGTTGTTGTTGCCTTTTTATAAGTCGTTTACAACATTCCCGTTGTGTGGGAATTACAAACTCTTGCATGCAACTTGAGATTGTAGTTCCTATACAAAACAGTTGCTCATGTTGTAAGCTATACAAACAAAATCATAGAACAAAGTGTAAACTGTTATTAAACTTCTACCATAACAAATATGAAAATATAAAGTACAACAACATTGATAACAACAAAAGTAGCTTCATTGCTATAAATATCACACCTAATACATTTCTCTTTTCTAATTGGCTGACTGAATGTTATCAAAATTTATCAAATAATAAAATTTCTTGCTGATTTGTTATAAAGAAGAAATTCCATATTTTTTTTCTTGAAAAAAAAAGACAAAAAAGCATAAATTTATTGCTAATGGCTTACTGGTGATAATATTAAGCTGCTTTTACCAAATCTATCAGTWTTTTTAATCAATACGATTTGAACAGAGGCATTTCCTATACAAACAACACTTAATAGCYTTCCTATTATTGTACAAAATTCCAAAGGGGAAGATACTCAAGGTCACAGACCCCTCATGTACTATAACTATCAGTTGAAAATGCTTTGTCRCACATTCCTTTAAAAGTAATTGTTCCCATCTCCCTCACAAGAAATGCACAAGGCATTCTGGTAGTCCTATTGATATGAAGGCCAACAGTGTGTTACACCTTTAAAACATTGAAAATCCTTTGAGGTAACCTTATTTTATTTGAACTTAAGATGGGTCATCTTTTGAAATATGCTGAATCTGTCATTTGATGTTTGACTAAATTGTGCTACCTTCAACCTACCTCTCAAACAGTCATACACATATATTATGATATATTCAGTTCCCATTTTATGCAAGTAGCTAGTGATTGTCATGCTATCTAACATAGTATGTGCTGTTTTCACAAAAAAATTGGTTTTCCGCAAAATGTACATTTTCCTGTTCAAAGCAAGCAACTGCTGCTTTAGTTGACAACATGCACAGAGACATTACCAAAAACAAAAGAAAGTACAAAAAATTGTTGTTATCACAATAGCCCTTACAAATTTTCATTTTCTCCAATTAGAGGCTAAGCCTGTATTCCCAGAAGGCTCAACCTCCATGTCTTGTGGGAATAGAAAAAAATTTCTAGATCTATTGTGTAGTTCCAGAAAATATCCATACCTCCACCACGGAGGATTTCGGAAATTCCTAGGGGGTAGGGGGTTAAAGTAGCTTGGAAATCCCAAGGGGATGGGGGGTTAATCTGCAATCGATCTACAAAATCGATATGCGTAGATATGCGTTATTACCGTATTCCTGACTCGCTGGTCGCTCTTTAAATAAGTTATTTGACGTGAATTTAAATGAAGATTGTGCTTCAAACAGACAGCTTCTACACAAAATGGGTTTTCTTTCGATTGAAGAAAGAAAATACAAGTGACAACTGTCAGTAGAATGACTACCGTGCTAAAATTCACGTACACGTTTTCACAAGTCTGCGAAACTAAAACTCAATATACATGTACTTGTATTTAAAAAGAAAGAAAGGTTGATGATAGAAAAATGCAAAAGAATCCTTCTTTATTGAATAAGTGTATAAATAAGATTCTAGATTCATTTGTTAGTCAAAGCACGTGGTCGTGGTTGTTTACACTCAATTGACGGTTCGATATTAAAATCGGCAAAGATTTATGACCACAAAGAAGCTTGAGCTTTAGGTAAAACACGAAAATCGAACATTTAAGATTTACTATGCTAAAAAAATACATATTTTGGAGGAAACGATCGATTTCTAGAAGTGCAAATTTTTGCAGTAAAGAAACTACTTGCTTACGTTCCGGTAGAATTCGCAAAGTTCATGGATATACATGCATATCAAATCAATGTGGTGCTAGACTTCGTTGTTCCATCTCCGCGGCTTTCATTTGCTATTTGTCCTCTGTTCTTCTGACACTCAAAAACATTTGATTTTAAATTGCCAGGCGTATCTTGCATTGACGGAATTTCCGAGGGGGGTGAGGGTAATACCTGCCTTTTTATCGGAAATTCCGGAGGGGTGGGGGATTGGGGAAGAGTTGTAAAAAATCGG